ACACGAATTTACCTCTGATGGTGATTTGGTGACCAGAAACGAGGGAAGGTTCGGTCGCTTGAATATTTTATTCATCCGTGAGATACCTCGGGATATTAAATTTAGCCTTCGTAAAAGCGGTGTATCCGCGTTGAACTGTGAGAAGAAGAAGAAGAAGAAGAAGAAGAAGAAGAAGAAGAAGAGGAGGAGGAGGAGGAGGAAGGGATATTCCGGAAAGATGGCGCTTGTATAACTCGAGAGGGTGGTAAAATAAGAGCGAGAGGATAGGAATAAATCAGAAGTAAACCTGTGTAAACACGAGTGTACCGCCTCTCTTAACCGTACGGACAACGCGGGTGCGAGGAGGATGCTCGCAATCCCGAGAAATTACGACGTTTTTCGTTAAACGTGGATCATCGCGCCGCTCGTAAAAAATTTCGTCGGCTTTGCCACGCGCGGATCGAGGCTTCTAGCGCGCCACCATCCAGGCCTATCGTCGTTCCCTCGAACGGAGTTTTCCACGGAGACCTCGTGTCGACCACCCTTTGCAAAATGGCACCCGTTATTTTCCTTTAACACGTGCAATAGCGGTCGCATTACGAGCTGTTAAACTACTATTACGGCATTTAACGCGATGCACCGTTATACACCAAGGCTGCATCATGATTTAATTTGTACACCATGGTAACGTGTGTCTTGATGTGTTCACTCCCCGGAACGCGAAACGCTCGTACGCGGTAATATTTTACCGCGCAAGATACGTGTATACGTGTAATAACTGTGTAACCAAGGCAACCTGGGAAATTTTCAACCAGTTGTCGGATGATGGTCGATTAGAAAATTAAATCCCACGTTTTCCACGTTTGAGAACAAGATCTGCTTCCTAGACTAGATTTTCAAAACTCCTCCAGGCAGGGAGAAAGAGACGAAATCGACCGAGACGTGAATAATTAACGAGCGACGCTGACTGAAAGAGAGAGAGATTTCTTTACACGTCGGCGGTGCGCATTCACCTCGCGTATCATCCTATCGACTCTGCCCCATGGGTGGGCAACTGTTGGGAATCTATCATTTTTATCCAGAGAGAGTATCGCGTTTTCCCTTGGATTAAACAAAACGTGAGATGAGACGCGCGTGACGAATCCTCGTTCGGATCGGTTTTCATTAGCCGCGATAAGTCGCGAAAACCCGGGCAGGCGGAGGTTAAAAATAAGAGGATTATCATTTGTCTTGATCAAGTTACAACTTTCTCCCTATCCTCTTAATCGATATTCGGGACATCGCGGTCTTTCATCCGTCTATCCATCCATTCATCCATTATCACCTGTATCTACACCTTTTCGCCGCGTATCAAAAAACTTTCTTCCCCATCCGTATCTCCAAATAAAATTTTCTCCTCCAATGATCGAGGATTTATCGAATCCGATTTTTTCGACCGACTTTTTCTGCTCAAAACGATCCGAATCCGGAACATTTACGTTTCTTCGAAAAAGAGAAGAGAATGTCAAAAATTTTATGGAAAGGGAAAAGATCGACACGAGGATTGCTCGTCGAATCGGATGAAAACAAGGGGGGGGGGAGAGGGAGAGAGGGAAGAATCGACAAGCCCTTCGTTGATGGAGCATTTAAAAGAGAGGAGAGGGAAGGAGATGGAACGGGTAGGGCGGAAAAGAGAGATAGGGGTAGGATTTAAAGGTCTGTTTTCATTGCTATTCCGAATGGTGCGGGTTTCCGCACGGCTTCTGTCGTCCTGTACGAGGGCATCGGCCTGATTGGTAAATCTACGACTGCTCAATGATGCGTTTATTTGCCGGGGAATTAGGGCAGGAAGCGAGACAGAAGGAGAGGAGGATCGAGGAGATAACGATTGCGGACGGGGTGGTGAGGTTAGGAAGAGGGGGAGAGGAGAGGACACAGAGAGAGAGAGAGAGAGAGAGAGG